CGCTCCGCGGTTGGTATGAGAATCCTAAGGCTTAAAGGATCTTGATGATCAGAGGATCCTGACGATTTAAGAACCCTAAAGGCTTAAGGTCGGAAACTTAAGGCGTCAGGCTTAAGGCAAGACTAAGACAATCCGAAGGCGAGCTTTTGTCAAGCTTATGGCAAGCCTAAGACAAGCTTAAGACAAGCTTAAGACAAGCTTAAGACAAGCTCAATGCAAGCTTAAAGCAAGCTTATGGCAAGCCTATGGCAAGCTTATGGCAAGTTTATGGCGAGCTTATGGCAAGCTTAAAACAAGGTTAAGGCAAGCTTAAGACTAGTAGCTTGAGGCAAGCTTTGAGCAAGCTTAAGACAAAGGAGTTGCCCAGGCAAGCTACCCCCAAACCCTTTCTGCAGTTCCCTGTGCGCTTGCAACGACGCTCCGCGGTTCGGCTGACGACAAGCGCGCCAACCGGATGTGTTTGAATTAGAGTTAGTTTTTGAACAGCTAGTTGTGTCAGTTTGGACGATTTAAGTCAGTTTAGAGTTTTGTCTAAAGTATATTTTGGTGATATTGTTGTTCTTTATTAATTATACGGAATAATAAATATTATTTTTGTATAAAACCGTGTTTTTCTTTGTCTTTTGTGTCTGGACCTTAATACCCCAATTAATCGGAGGCAATTAAGGAATTGAAACTTTTGAATATCAAAAAACGTTTGCATGTGATAATTTCTTTTTTAATTTCCGGCGTTCTGTCTTATCATTGCAGATTGGTGTTATTTTTCTTTAGAACATTATTATTACGCATTTCCGTGCATCACAACTTTTTTATTGTAGTTTGTGCTCTCTTTTATGCCAAAAAGACATTTTTATTCAAGATTGCGGACTAACAGTAGTCGAATGCGGAATGTGGTAAACCTTCTTAATTTCCTGGAAAAGTTTGATGAATCCTTTTCTGATAGTTCTATTCAGAGTCAAATAAATGAAAACTGGTGCTCCGTGAATCAATTGCCACATCTTTTGAGCCACTATTATGATCCAAATAGGAAGTTCAACGATGTTCATGACAACGAAAATGATGGAAGCGACAAAGTTGATTGAGCAAATCATAGCAGACTGAACCAGAATTTGAAAGCCCTGGAGTCATACTGTAGAAGGACTTAATAAGAATCCTGACCTACCAAATCATTCTTCCGATCCTTCCAACCAATTGCTTTTAATTTCTCTCGAACTTCTAAATACAACCAAACATACAGTATACAGGTGATTGCAACAATTGCCACGTTGTTAACAGCATGAGAGATGTTGATGTACTAAAAAATTATTCTGATATAATCATTGATAATTACAGTACCTTATCAGTTTTAATGTCACTGATCATCGGGTTGAATAGCCATGTGTAGTACTTTGAGTTGAAGCCAACTGGATTAGTGAACACAGCGAAATAGAGGCCATAGAGAAATGGGGCAAGCATGATGAGAAATGGGCGATTTCTGAAATCGCATCGACTATTATCCTTGGGATTTAAACTACAAGCTTCAAACGTAAAACCTATTCTTATGCCTTGAAGTCTTAAGCTTTCAGTTGCTTCAAGAATGTCTTACCTTATACCTTATACCTTATACCTTATACCTTATACCTTATACCTTATACCTTATACCTTATACCTTATACCTTATACCTTATACCTTATACCTTATACCTTATACCTTATACCTTATACCTTATACCTTATACCTTATACCTTATACCTTATACCTTGTACCTTATATTTTATACCTTAAACATTTGGATCCTTAGAACCTTAGAATTCTTAGATCCTTTAAAACTAACCCTGTAAACATCTTGCTCAACTTATGCTCACTCAGCTCCAACAACCGATTGCTGACCAAAATCAACACAATTATACAAGAAGAACACCAAAGACCCAAAACGATCATTCCAACGATATAATTAAACTTTGGACACGTACACCATACGGCTCCTCGGATAGCTAGGATACCAGTGATTATGGAATTGATAACCAGCGCCGACATATCAACAATCGCCAAACAAATCATGATTTTAAAACACGACATTTTGTAAAATTCCGATTGAAACATGACGACAATTATTGGGATGTAGAGGATCTGAATACGGTAGATAAAAAAAAATCAATTGAAGAGTTTCTCGATACAATTACAGTAACCCCAAAAATGACATCTAGCAAGCCTAGAATCGGATGAGACACTCCATATAAGTCAGACCATTCTTGAGATGTATGAGCACTGAAAATATTGATTTTTATAAAGTTTCAAAGTCCAATTTTTTAATTACCTGCAATTATAAAAGGGAATCTTATCAATAGAGCCGTATTTGAGAATCTGGTTCATTTTAAAGAACGAATGAGGAAAAATGTGATTTTCAAAGAATAAAGAAGTGGGCGGACAGGAAATCGAAAAAATTGTATTGTTCAATCATGTGAGAGTATTGTTCAATCATGTGAGAGTTTTTGTTTTTAGGTTGTTTGACATTTTTAAAATGTACTTTCTGAGAATTGTGGTCTCAGAAGTGCTCACAATTCGAAAAAAATAAAAACAAAGGAGTTCGTCAGAGATTCTGATTTGCCCTAGACATCTTCAGAATTGTATTGTATCCGGAAGTAGAAGGACTTAATACTGTATTGTATCCGGAAGTGTCACATATTTCTAACATAAAATGTTTAGACAAAGAAAAAAACCTTCGGAATGCAAGACTTTATAGTTAAAATGAGCAATCAAGGTTTGGAACACTTAGAAACTAGTCGAGCCAGATCCCGGGTCATTTGTTTAGCTTCATCACTGGTCGTCTGCAGTGTCGAGCGGAATTCCGTCCGGAAAAATTTGTCACGTCTTCCGTCTTCCATCTTCCGTAAACTCCGGAAAAATCACAACAAACGGAAGACTAAAATTTTTCAGAATTTGTCGAATTTTCAGTCAAATTTTCTAAAATTCGTTTGGCGGATCCGTCTAACTGCAAAACCGATGCGAATATTCAATTCTAACTTATTGTCCAATTCAAAGTTTCCAAGTTTAATTCTTAGATTTTCTGTCTTCCGGCTTCCGTCTTCCGTCAAAAAAAAATTGCTCAAAGCTCCAAATCCAACGAGAGCGAGGAGAATGAGGAGTTGGAATTTCATGTGAAATTATGTTCTGTGCTCCATGGAGCTCTTTTTATATGGATTCAAAATTTTAATAATGTCAGATGAGGCATGTATAACCTATAGAATTTTGGCTCCTGTTTTTGTTATTGTTCGGAAATACTGGCAGTCCGGTTACTGTATTATTCCCGGAAGTGTGTCATATTTTCGGGATAACATGTTTTTTAAAAATAGTCTAGCATTGAAAAACACAACGAGCTTCCCTATTCACTGTTTTCAGAATAACACGAATACCGTAATCCAGTTTTTTTTCGAATTACGATCTGAATTTCTGAATTTCCTAAAACTATGAGGCTGAAACGCATTTTTTAGCTCCAAAATTTGAAAATTTCATAAATTTTTGAGGGAATCCTTTATTGTCTCAAAAACAGCAAGATTTCAAAACATAGGGAAAAATAAGCTTTTAAAAAATGAAGGAAAGTTTGAGCCAATTTATCTCCTTTCCTGTGAAAGATATCGAAAAATGGTCAAGTGATGAAACATTACTGATAATGTGATAAATGTTTTATCAGTTGATTACTTTTTGATATCTTTTGAAGGAGCCGAGATATATGGGCTCAAAGTTTAGGGTGGTGGTCATTGCATTGGATTGAGAAGAGATCCCGACTGTGAGATACAAAAAGGGAGAGAGAAAATAATGAATTAGGTTTTCCGAGACAAAAAATAATTACACCTAATTAGGCCTTAATTAGTCCTCAATTATCTCCTGTTTGACCGTCTTCTTTGGGCCCAGACCATCAGTTGGATCAATTAAGCATTCCAATCTGTTGAAGAATCTCCAGCTCTCACGATTATCGTCCTTCACCGTACCATCCTTGTTATACGTGTTCTGAAAGATTACTGTAGTTTAATTATCGATTTTTCAAAAATTAATTGCTCACCTCACGATCCGCCATACTGTAGCCATTGATGGCATATTTCAGACGGAACAACTGCACGAATTCCAGCCATTTTGCGATGATTGCTTCGACTGTAAAAATATTTTCAACTTGAGGCGCATATCTCAAAAACTACTGTAGCTATGAAAAATTTGTAAACTGTGAAAATGTAGCACCTGAAATGTGCTATGTTTTTGCAATAGATAATTATTCTATGGCTACCGTATTTTTTAGCTTTACGCCTTTAAAGTCAGCATCTCTCCTATCGTCTTGCCTGAAGGACTCTTGACTTTAAAGGCGCATATCTCAAAAACTACTGTAGCTATAAAAAATTTGTAAATTATGAAAATGTAGCCCATGAAATGTTTCATATTTCTGCAGTTGAAAACTTTTTCGTAGCTACAGTAGTTTTTCAGATATGCGCCTTTAATGGGAAACTTGAATTTTTTTTAAAAACTGACCAGTGAAGCACTTGTTGAGATTGGCGTTGAGCGACTCTTGGACACGAAGGAAATCCATCTGGAATTTTTTCTTGAAAATCCAAAAACTAGGTCATGACCTAGAAAAAATTAGGTCATGATCTAGAAAAAAAACTAGGTCATGACCTAGATAAAATTACCATGAACTAGAAAATCTAAAAATTAGGTCATGACCTAAAAACCACTTTTCTAGGAAAATTTTTTTTCTAAAATTCAAATTTTAAACTCATTTTTTACCATTTCCTGCTCCTTAATATCGTATCTGTACTGTACTTTGCACAGTACCGGGGACTGCGTTGCCAGCTCAACCAGACCATCCTCCGCGTCCGGTGACCAGGTTTTCGTTGGTCCTTGTTGCATTTTTTCTGGGAAAAATCGATAATTTGAAAAAGCTGAGTAATCTATGAAAAGTAGAACAAATCGGAATTTCACCAAAAAAAATTTCGAAAAAAAATGGAAAAAAATCGCAGAAAAAATGTTTTATACCAAAAAAAACCACTGAAAGAAATCACAATAAATCACATATCATAGAAATTTGAAGAATAATATGGCGATAAGGTTTGACGGGAAATTTGAAAAATGGGCTAAATTTGAAATTTTTTATAAATCAACAGAAAATAAGGCGTCGTAGAGCCGTCGTTGTACTCGCATCGCATTCATGTAGCCTTGTTCGACTGATAATCTGAAAAAATCGATACTTAGGAATTTCAGAAATTCAGAAATTCAGAATTTTAGAATTTTAGAATTTCAGACTTTCAAAGCTTCAGAAATTCAGGAATTCAGAAATTCAGAATTTCAGAATAAAAAATACAGTACCTCCGTAAAGTGGCGGCTACCATTCCACCGAAATGATCGAATTCGTCCTGTTGATTCGTCGGAGGTGCCGTTATTAACTGCATCGGCGGCATGGATGACATTTGCACAGATCGGTAGGGCTGGAAAATTCGGGATATTTGAGTGAAAATTTGAAGTTGGGGTAAAATTCGGGTCTAGAATTCGGAAAATCAGAAAAATTCCAAAATCAAATAATTCAGATGATTGGATGTTCAAGTTCAGAAATTCGAAATATCGAAAATTCTGAAATTCCAAAATATGGAAATTTGAATTTTCATCTTTAAAATTGGGAACCCAAAAAATTCTGAAAAATTCTGGAATTCTGGAAATCTGAATTTCAAAATTTAAAAAATTCAGAACCTCGAAATATCTGCGATTCTGAAAATCTAGAATATGAAAATTTCGAAATTCGATAATTTTAATTTCTGGGTAATTCAACAATTCCAAAAGTCAGAAATTCGAAAATGCGCTGAAAGTCGGAAAATTCCAGAAAATCCTAAAATTCCAGAAAAGTCAGAATTTTAGAAATTCGAAATATTCAAAAATTCAAAATTGCCAAACAAAGAGTTTCAAAAATCTAGATTACAAAAATCCAGGAATCTCGGCAGTTCAACAAATTCGAAATTTAAGAAAATCTGAAAATATCTGAAATTCAAAAATTCGGTTTCTCCGAATTTCCAAATATCGGAAACTTGAAATTTCTGAAAATCCGTGATTCGGAATCTCTGAAATTCGGAAACTGGAAGATTCCAAAACTTCCGGCTTGCAAGCAAACCAAAATTTCAGAAAATGAGAATTCCCAAGTTTCCCAATTGTGAATTTCAGAAATTCAGAATCTTGAAATCTCTGAAACTCTAAAAATTCCTAACCTTCTTCCTATCCGGTTGCCCATCATCCTCTTCCAATTCATCATCAACTCCACTATTCGAATTCCCATTATCCACTGGACTGTACCGATGGTCCCTTTTAGACCCCGTTGAAGACGTGACCATTGTAGACGTTGAACTAGATGACATCCCAGATGCCGGAGAACAAGAATTCAGATTTTGTGGGGAATTCATCATTGGTCCTTGTGGTCCTTGTGGTCCTTGGAAATTGTTGGGCGGTTTGTTTTCGAACATTTGGAGCATTTGCTCCTCACTGGATGTTGGCTCGTAGGACATTTGTTGACAGTGTTGGGGTCTGAAAATGTGAAAGTTTGCTGTGATCCATTCGAAATATGAACAATTTTGGAAATTCAGAATTAGAAAGATTCGAACAAATTGGAAAACCCTAAAATCACTTAAAATCACAATTACTGGAAACTCAAAATTCAAGAATTACTGAAAATTTAGAAAACTCAAAAAAAAAACAGATAGACAGTCAAAGTTTAGTAGTATTCCGAATTTCAAAATCTGATTTTAAGAATACGGGAGTTATGGTTTTTCAATTTTTCTTGAATTTCTGAATCTCAAATTATTTGAGTTTCCGAATTTCTGAAATTTCTAAAACTCCAGAACTTTTGAATTTTTGAATTTTCAAATTTCCTAATTCTTCAAAAACGCCCCCAATTCACTCACCTCGGTCCAATAATCGGTCCAGATGAGCAATTTCCTTGTTGCTGACTCGTCAGTGCCATTTCATACGAATGATCACAAGCGTCTCCGAGCCGTTTTGCCTCCTTATCATCCAAGAAAGTAAGCATACGGTAGAATTTCCAGGTGGGTTCCTTCATGGCGTCTTCAACATATTTTCCCTCATGGACCCATCGTAGTTTTCGAACAAATGTGTCTTTTAGATTCTTCCATTGCGCTCGAACGTCTTCCCATGTGAATTTGGTAGAATACGTGGAATTCAGATTCTGAGTGACTTCTTCGAATGAGGAGACCTGGAAATTGGGGATGTTTTGGTCGATGCACCAAATATTTTAGTTTTTAATTTTTTGGAATTTCGAACTTTCTGGAATTTAGGATTTTTCAGAATTTCGGAATTTCTAGAATTGGAAATTTAAGAGCGGTCGATGCACCATATTTTCATTCTTATGGATTTTTTGAAAAAAATTCCCGGAAAATTGGATTTCCAGATTTCTAGGATATCTACAGAATCTGTAATTTTCAGATTTCTGGAATTTTCAAAATGTCGGAAATTCTGAAATTTTGAATATTCTAGATTTTTGAAATGTCAGAATTTCAATTTTGAAAATTTCAGATTTTCAGAATCTCCGAATTTCAGAATTCCAAAATTCAAAACCTTAAAATCCCAGAATTTCAGAATTTTTGAATTTCAGAATTTCTAAATTTCAGATTCTCGAAATTTCCGAATTCCGTAATTCAAAACCTCAAAATTCCAGAATCTCAGAATTTCGGAGTTTCAGAGTTTCAGAATTTCAGAATTTCTGAATTTCTGAATCTCAGAATTCCAAAATTTCATAATTTCTGAATTTTAAAATTTCAAACTTTCAAAGCTTCGAAATATCTAAAATTCTGAATTTCTGAATTTCTGAATTTCTTACTAAATATTCTTACTTTCATCGTTCGATAACTGCTTTCTCCAATATACGATTTGTCCCAAATCACCGGTCGATCTCTGATCGCACTGATCAGAAATTGACGCGTCGGATCCGTCCAAGACGCCATTTTTCTGAAAAACATTTTTTTTTTGAAAATTTCAGAATTTCAGAATTTCCAGGTAAAAAAGTAGTGAAATTTAAAATTTTCAAGGTTAAAAAAATCAGAAATTCAGAAATTTTGGTTTTTCTAATTTTTCGAGCCTAAACTACCTGAAAAGTTTTTCAGACGAAATCAATGCGATTTTGGAGAGAAGATCTGAAATTTTCAGATTTCTTAGCGTTGGAAAGTCGGTTTTTTTTTCCGTCAAAATTACCCTGAAAAATCTAAATTTTATGCCAAAAATTAAATTTTTTTCTTTTTTTCTTTTTCGTTTTTTTTTTCGATTCTTTGGGTTTTTTCTGGAATTTTCCTTTTTTTCCGTTCCACACTTCTCGCCGGTGCCTGGCCGTGCTGGCCGAGTTCGCGGGACAAGTTAGGCCAGGGGCGGGCGGCGGGCGGCCACCACTAGTACTAACCCGGCTTTTTGCCTATTTTCATGGGACTCTCTCGCTTTTTTAATAAGAAAATTAGTATCGTTAAAAAGCCCAAATTTCGGGCTTCAAAATGAGCTATAATACGTCAAATTTGACAGAGAACGAGTCAAGTTAAAGGGGAAAGCGAGAAAATTCGCAAAAAGTACTGTCTTGAAAATACCTTGCGAAATGGCCTAAAAATTGGGAAAAGCGGTAGTTTTAGCTATTTTTAGGCCTTCGGACACAAAAAATTGGCCAAAAAAGTAGGAATTTACATAGAAAAGCATGAAAAAACAGGGGAAACGTGGCAAAATGGGGGGACAAAACCGGCCTTTGGGTCGCGACCGCGACGCGTCGCGCGTCGCGAGTGTCTGCGTCTTCACCCGCCGCACACTCTCTCCCCGCGGGCTTGCGACGGCACTGTCTGCGCTCTCCTCGACTGCAACGGTGTCTCGCGGGGATAGGGGAACCGCCCGAGAGTGCTGTTTTATGTACATTATATTTCATCTTTGATGATTGTATATTGTGTGTATAGTAACCGTTGGGAGAAGCTTCTAGAAGAATAGGGAATTTCGAAAAAGAAGAGGAGAAGAAGGTGATGGATTTGATGATGAATCTAATAAAAATATGAATGGGGTTTTCTTTTTTCGTCGTAAAATGTTTATATGTGATCGGGAGGAGAGGGATGGGAGGTGCAAAAAAAATTCAGAAAAAATCGTTTTTTGAGGAATGGGAATGGAAGAACATTTGGGAAATTATGAATGGGAAATTGTGCAAGGTGTGGTAAAATATGAATTTCTGAATTTGGAAAATTTTTTAAAAAATTTGGATTCTTGGATTATTTAGAATTTTTGAGTTTTTAGTACTAAAAGAAACTTTTAGGAAGTTTGAAATAATTGAATTTTAGATGTTGTACAGATTTCCTGGATTTTTGGAATTTTTTGGAGTTTGAATTTTATGGAATTTTGAAAAATCAAGTATTTCTTTCCGAATTTTTTTTAATTTAAAAAATTCAGAAATTCTAAAATTTTGGGATTTTTGGAATTTCACAGACTATGAACATTCTAGAAATTTGCAATTTTCGGGTGTTTCAGAATTCAGGCTTTCCACTTTTCTAAATTTCTGAATTTCTGAATTTCTGAATTTCTGAATTTCTGAATTTCTGAATTTCTGAATTTCTGAATTTCTGAATTTCTGAATTTCTGAATTTCTGAATTTCTGAATTTCTGAATTTCTGAATTTCTCAATTTCAGAAACTCAGAAATTTAGAAACTCCGAAATTCAGAAGATTCTGAATTTCTGAATTTCTGAATTTCTGAAAAAATTCAAAATATCCAAAAACCCAAAAAAATCCACAAATCCCAGAAATCTCAAAAATCAAAAAAAAAAACATCTTTCAAAATCCTAAAAATCCCAAAAAAAAATCTCAAAAGTCCCAAAAATTAAGAAATCGTGATTTTTTGAGAAAAATCAAATAATCCGAAAATCCCCGAAAGTGCAAATAATTGAAACCCTAAAAACTTTGAAAATACAAGGTTCTCAAAATCACAGATCTATGGTAAATCTAATTAATTTTAAAATTTCGAAAATTTGAAAATTAAAAAATTCGAAAAATTAAAAAAAATTAAAAAACTCGGACAGAAGCTTTAAAATCTTGGTAAGTCTAAACAATCTGAAATCTCAATAATCACAAAAAGACCCTAAAAATCTTTTAAAATCCAAAATCCAAAAAAGTTTCTTTTCAACTTTTCCATATATTATTTTACAGATAAAAAATCTCCCAAAGGGGACCCAATTCCTTATACCCATAATATTTTTGATATCAGCAATTTTATCATATTTCCGATATATTCAACCAATGTCTTGTTTTCAACAAAAGCCTCCATTTCCATTTGGCTCCATTCTTATAGCTCCAATTAGTATGAATGGAGCTACGGTAGGTTGACAAATATTTTTTCAAAAAAATAATTTTTTCAGCCACTTTATAAAATTCTGGAGAACATAATCTACCCATTCATCCCTTCCATTTTGGTGATTTTAACAATTTTAATATTCTGGAAACTTCGGCAAATTAAATTATTGTAATTTTCATTAAACTACAGTAATTCCATTTACAGTAAGCCTTTTTTCAGATCCGCATTTCATCGAAATCAAAAATTGGATTTTAAAGGAGAAAAAAACGCTATCTATCACTATGATTTTGATCATTCTTCCATTGATTTTTTCGGAAATTTTGATTTTTTCCGAATTTTTAAATTATCGAATCGATTTTATTGAATTGATCAGACCATTTTCAGCAGATGCCAGATCTCATATTGTCACTTGTTATTTTTATTTTACTCATCCAATTTTCAAAAAATTGGGGAAGAAAGAAAATTCAAATATCTCCAATTTTAGAAGTTCTATGATTTAACTTGTGTGTGAAGAATCTTCTTGGTGACCTTATCGATTGGAGGCACGATTTTTGAATAAAAATTATTTATTCTCAACGTTTCGGCTTTATGCCATCTTCAGGAGACAATTACCTACAAAAAATGAGAATAGAAGAAGTGCAAACCGGTGTAGGGATGAGTGAGGTAGAGGTAGAGAAAACCGTAAAAATGAAAGGTAATAATGAACCATAAAGAACTGGGATGAAAAGACAAAATTTTTTAGAGACAAGGAAAAAGGAAAAGAAAAAGAAAAAGAAGACATTTCGGTTGGGAAGTGATGGGACCATAAAACGATCACTATTGATTTTATGTTGTGTTGTTGTGTTGTGACGGCCACACTATATTCAAAGGGGAGGAGGGGAAGAAGAGGGGAAGAAGAGAACACGGTCCCCGGTTTGAAGAAGACCGGCATGGGAGTAAAGGTAAAGACTAGATTACTTAAAGGGTCCCCCATACCCGCAACCAAGTCCGTTAGTTCTTCCTTGGTGTTAAGAGACGGGTTTTTAGCTTTGATATGTATCCCCTCCAAAATCTTCCTACGAACCGTATTCCTCTCTATGTCCAGAATTTTAAGCGAAATGTTGAGTGGTCTACCCCCATGCTTCTCCCTGGAGTGTTTAGCCCAAGTTGTAGCTAGATAGGCTTTGGTCCCCGGTTTCTCTGCAGCTCTGGAATGTTCGTTGAACCTCTCGGCAAGTGGGCGTCCCGTTTCTCCAACATATATTTCCCCGCAATCACAATCGATTTGATAAACTGTACCTTTTCTTTCACAACCACCTTCACCAATATTTGGGCATACACGGCACTGCCTTCTTGTACATCTGACGTCGTAAAGCCGGTTTTTTACAAGAAGGTCTCGAAGTGATTTTCCTTTAAGCTCCACCACTCTAGCTTCCAGTCGCACTTGGTTAAGAGATGAACGCACTAGATTGGTTACACTGTCAGAGACGAAGGGGATTGCCAAGATGGGAATGTTACTTTTATCCGTGGTATAGTCGTTTCGATATATTTTACTGATTTTGTGAGGGTACCCCTTTGGTGGATAACCGTTGGAAAAAGCACCTCGTTGGCTAGGTTCCGAGAGTAGCTCCTTTGGTCAATCGTTGAGTTTTCCGTGGCCGTTTTTTGAGTGGTACTTATGGTGTTGATTTTTTGTTGTTTCGGATGACCGGAATCCATTCGTATGAGCAGGTTTTTGTTGCTGGGCTTCCGGTACCACCTACTAGAGAATACCTTGTTTTTGAAGCGGAGTTCACAGTTCAGAAACGATAACCAGTCCATCTTGGGTGCTTCCCGTGTGAGACGAATATGTGTCGCCTGACTGTTTAGGCATGTGAAGATATTGTCCAGTGTGTCTTGAGATTCCGCTACCACGATGTAGTCGTCGATATAACTTCTGAACAGAATGATAGGATGGACTTTACTCGGGGTCTCAATTATATCCATGTAGAGGACGGCAAGAACTGGAGCTAAACGACTGCCCATAGCGAGTCCTCGTTTCTGCTCATATATCCTGCCATCAAACTGAAACCCGTTGAACTCCAGGCAGCTTTTTAGGAGCATTTTAATATGAGTGAAGGAATCTCCATACCAATCAATTACGGAAGCGTTCTTCTTCAGCTTGTCCACCACTGCCTGATATGCTGCTCTGTTGTCGATATTGGTGTAAAGCGCTTCCACGTCAAAAACTTTCTTTTGTGAATTTTTGAATTTCTCAATTTCTGAACTTCTGAATTTCTGTATTTTTTGGGGGTTTTCGGATTGTTAGATTTCGCGGATTCTACATTTCAATTTCTGGTCGATGCACTATTTTTAAAAAACCTGATTTTTCTAAAATTCCAAAATTTTCTAGCCTATAATTTTTCTCATTTTTTGTGTGACTGATCATACATTCTAATTTTCAAAAGTTCAAAAATTATTTTCAGACTTTTCAGACTAGACTACAAAAATAATACGATTTTTCTGGTTCAATTGGTTATTTTGCGGATTTTAGAAAGTATTGTTCAAAAAACAAATTTTAATAATTTGAATTATAAAAAGTTGGATTATTGTAGGACATTATCCCATTGGATCACTGTAGAAGTTTTCAGAAAAATAAAAAAAAATCGTTTATCAGAAAATGATCAGATTACTTTAGAAATTTGGTTTCTTTTTTAAAGGTGGGGGGACAGGAGATTTTTCGTAGTTTTTTTGTAGCTAGAGTATGCATTCTACCGTAACGGTGTACAACGCTTAATGTCACTCTGCGTACAGCTGTCGTCCTCGCCTTTATGTATGCAATCGGGCGTGCGCTTTCTCTTTGCCCGCGTGGCTCAGTCGGTAGCGGCGCCGCACCCTCACTCCTCGCCTTCACAAGTTCAACTCCTCGAGGGGCATATTTGAACGAAATTTCGAGAACACTATTTTTTTCATGTCTCCCCACCTTTAAATAAAACACTGAATTACTATAGAAAAATAGAAAATTGAATTATCAGAGACAAATAGGTGCTTTAAAAAATAAAAAGAAGATTCATACCCGTTTTTTACAGATTACCAAAAATAAGGATTACTGTAGAAATTTGAATTTTAAAAGGGTCATCGACTATGTCCAGAAGAGGACACAACCATAGCAATTGGGGAGCTGGATACTGTAGTTTTTCGTTTGTATCTTTTGAACATTGGATGAGTGTAATAGAATGCCCATGGTTCGAATACGGTAGCTGTGTCAATGAAAATTGGGCGAATTGAGAGGATATAACCAATTAAGGAGGGATTTCGAAGGGCCAGAACCTGAAAAATAATTTTTTTTCATTTTCATATTTCTTTGAATTTCCGAATTTCTGAATTTCTGAATTTCTGAATTTCAGAAACTCTGAAAATTCGTTTTTATAGGAAAAATCCATTTTTCAAAAAATACTCTAAAATTCTAAAATTCTAAAAATCTTGAAAAGTCTGAAAAAATACCTACCAGTCAATCTTGAAAAAGCGAAAGTTTCAAAACTTTTATATTTTTGAATTTTCAGAAATTTCAGATTTTTTTGGATTTCAGAATTATTAAAGATTTTTTGTTTATTTTTTAGAAAATTGAGTTTTTTGAATTTCTTGTTTTTCGAACTTGCATTTTTCGTGTGATACATATTAATTTTCAAAAGTTCAAAAATTATTATCTCTCTTTTCATACTAGACTACAAAGATACAAATTTCATGGTTCAATTAGTTTCATTCTTAACTGTTCTTTTCGCATCATGCCGTTTTAGAACAGTAAACTTTTTAACCGGACGCTTAAGAATAATTCATTCGAACTGGTCATTTTAGAACCGGACGTTCTGGAAATGGCTATTTCGCAACTGGACGTTTCAGAACCAGTCATTTGGAAACAGGACGCTTTGCAACCAGTCATTTCGCAAGCAGAACTGAATTGGTAATTTTGCAACTGGACGCTTCAAAACTGACCATTTCGCAACTAGAACGTTTTCGAATCGGTCATTTCGCAACAAGACGTTTTAGAACCAAACATCTTGTAACCGGACGCTTTAGAACAAGTCATTTGGTAACTAGAAGTTCTCGAACTGGCTATTTTGCAACCCCGACATTTCAGAACCGGCTATTTCGCAACTAGACCTCCAAAAAATCGGTTATCTTGCAATTGTACATTCTAGAACCAGTCATTTCGGAACCAGACATTTCAGAACCCAAA